TTGTCCAGAATCATTGAAATAAGTACATTTCTCCTTTATTTCTATGCCTTTTTTTCAGACTGTATTGTAATTTTCATTGGTTTTCTTCTTCTCTTTATTTTCCATTGTAATTGCGTGTCACGACTACTCTCAAATTACACCCTTCCTCTCTTTTTATCTGTATATCCTATCTCCTGTGCTTAGAATTAAAGTTGTATTTTTTTCCTTACTACATGCTCTTCCCTATAAAAGGCCTCCTGGTTGAATATAATTTGTTTTGCAGTGTTAATTCAGGCTAATAGTTCCTCTTGCCTCATTTGCAGACCACATAGTGATGCAACTTGCCCTTGTTTTGTTCCCAGAAAGTATTGCCACAGTACTTAAATAAAATGATGTAGGACTCTGTTTACAAAAGAGTGCTTCTGTGGTATCTTACTGCTTTCACAGGAAGCTTAACAGCTTGCAGAACAGTAAGTGGCAAATGTTTAATGCAACATTGTGCCAACTTGAGGACAAACTGTTCCTCTCAGGAATGTTTTAAGGCTTAAATGAGAGGAAAATCCCTGTTGCAGAATGTGAATTCTTGGAGGCAGCGGGGAGTGACTGCCACTTCTTTGCCTTGCCAGCAGCTCCAATTCTCAAGAACCTTCCAACGCTTTTTTAGATCAGTTGAGTGTACGCTCAGCAGCAAGGAGTGATAAAGCTGTGACTGGCTTTTCCAGAGGAGCAAGAATTCCTCTTTCAAGGAAGAGGCAGTAAGTCTTCCAGAGGGAAAACATTGGCTTGTGCCCACAGATGCTGGGAAGGTACTGAGGAGGGAGACATGAGGCCATGGCAAAGCTATTAATGTGAGTAACCAAAGACGAGTATTGTCACTGCAAAAACTGTGAGACAGAACAATTCAGAACTTAAACAGTGATGAGTCAGACTGAAATATGTGGCACTTCAGCTGTGGAAATGAATCACTCATTAAGAAGGTAAGTAGATATTACTGAACGAATTATTAGTTTGACTAAAGAGTGAGAGGAATTGCATTCACAGAATCAGTAAGGTTGAAAAGACCTCCAAGATTATCAAGTCCAACCTTTGACCAAACATCACCACATCAACTACACTATAGCACTAAGTGCCATGTCCAGTCATTCCTTGAATACCTCCAAGGATGGTGAATCCACCACCTCCCTGGGCAGCCCCTTCCATTGTTTAACAACCCTTTCTATTTTTTCCTAATTTCTGAAAAAATTCCTGCTGATGTAAAACCTGAAGCTCCTCTGGTGGAGCTTGAGACTATGTTATTTTGTCCTGCCTCTAGTTTCCCTGAAGAAGAGGCCAATTCCCACCTGGCTACACCCTCCTTTCAGGTGGCTCTAGAGAGCGATAGCGTCTCCCCTGAGCCTTCTTTTCTGCAGGCTGAACAATCCCAGCTCCTTCAGACACACCTCATCAGACTTGTGCTCCAGACCCTTCTCCAGCTTCATTGCCCTTCTCTGGGCACACTGCACAACATCATTGTCCTTCCTGAATTGAGGGGCTCAAAACTGAACAGATGTTCACTGTTCAGGTGTGGCCTCATCGGAGCCAAGTACAGGGAGAGAATCACTTCCCTAGTTCTGCTGGCCACATTACTGCTGATATAGGCCAGGATGCCCTTGGCCTTCTTGGCCACTTGGGCACCCTGCTGGCTCATGTTCAGCTAGCTCTTGACCAGAATCACAGAATATTCTGAATTGGAAGGGCCCCCAAGGATCACAGAATCCAACTCTTAAGTGAATGGCCCATACAGAGATCAAACCCACAACCTTGATGTTATTGGCACCACGCTCTAATCAACTGTGCTAATATCAGGGATACCAGTACCCCCAGGTCCTTTTCCACTGGGCAGCTTTCCTGCCACTCTTCCCCAGCCTTGTAGCGCTGCCTGTGGCTGTTGTAGTCAAAGAGCAGGACCTGGTACTTGGCCTTTTGAACCTCATTCTGTTGGTCTTGGCCTATCTATCTGGCCCCTCCAAATTTGATACCATTCTCTGCATTAATCCTCCTAAGAAGTAAAAATGGCAGGTGGACTCCTCCCATCAGAGGTATTTTTAATCTTTTTTTACCTCAACTGCAGGTCAAAATATTCTGCTGGCTTTCTGTAACTGCTGGGTCCCGAATTCTTTAAAGTGGGCAGAATTGTGTGGCTGCTATCATAGATTCATAGAATCATAGATTCATAGAATCAAATGGGTTGGAAAAGACCTCTGAGATCATCAGGTCCAACCCTTCATCCAGCCCCACTGTGATTACTGGACCATGGCACCACACCCAGTCTTATCTTAAAAACCTCCAGGGATGGTGAATCCACCACCTCCTTGAGCAGCCTGTTCCAATGTCTGATTACTCTCTCTGTAAAAAATTTCTTCCTAATATCCAACCTAAACTTCCCCCGGCAGAGCTTAAAATTATGCCTTTTTGTCCTACTGCTGGTTGCCTGGCAGAAGAGACTGACACCCACCTGGCTACAAACTCCTTTCAGGGAGTTGTAGAGAGTGATGAGCCTCCTCCAGGCTAAACAACCCCAGCTCCCTCAGCCTCTCCTCATAGGACTTGTACTCAAGTCCCTTCACCAGCCTGGTTGCTCTTCTCTGGATCCGCTCCAGCACCTCAATATCCTTCCTGAACTGAGGGGCCCAGAACTGGACACAGCACTCCAGGTGTGGCCTCACCAGTGCTGAGTACAGGGGAAAGATCACTTCCCTGCTCCTGCTGGCCACACTGTTCCTAATACAGGCCAGGATGCCATTGGCCTTCTTGGCCACCTGGGCACACTGCTGGCTCATGTTCAGCTTCCTGTGGATCCAAACTCCCAGGTCCCTTTCCACCTGGCTGCTCTCCAGCCACTCTGTGCCCAGCCTGTAGTGCTGCAGGGGGTTGTTGTGGCCAAAGTGCAGGACCCGGCACTTGGCCTTGTTGAACCTCATCCCCTTGGAATTAGCCCAACACTCCAGCTTGTCCAAGTACCTCTGCAGAACCCTCCTGCCTTCCAGTAAATCAACACTCCCTGTCAACTTGATGTCATCTGCAAATTTGCTAATGGTACATTCGATCCCCTCATCCAGACCATCAGTAAAGATATTAAATAGAACCGAGCCCTGGAGGACACCACTGGTGACCGGCTGCCAGCTGGATGCAGCCCCGTTCACCAGCACTCTCTGGGCCCGGCCCTCCAGCCAGTTCTTAACCCAGCACAGAGTGCTCCTGTCCAAGCCATGGGTTGCCAGCTTTTCCAGGAGTATGCTGTGGGAGACAGTGTCAAAGGCTTTGCTGAAGATAGACACATCCACAGCCTTCCCCTCATCCACCAGGTGGGTCACCTGATCGTAAAAGGAGATCAGGTTGGTCAGACAGGATCTGCCCTTCCTAAACCTGTGCTGGCTGGCTCTGATCCTTTGTCCATCCTGTAGGTGCTGTGTGATTGTACTCAGGATGATCTGCTCCATAACCTTGCCAGGCACTGAGGTCAGGCTGACAGGCCTGTAGTTTCCCAGGTCCTTCTTGCAGCCCTTTTTATGGATCAGTGTAACATTTGCCAGCTTCCAATCATCTGGGACCTCCCCAGTGAGCCAGGATTGTTGATAAGTGATGGAGAGCAGCTTGGCAAGCTCTTCCACCAGCTCCCTCATCACCTTTGGGTGGACCCCATCTGGTCCCATGGACTTTTGAGGATCCAAGTGGCTCAGCAGGTCACTAAATGTTTCCTCCTGGATTACAGGAGGGCTATTTGGCTTCCTGTCTCTGTCTACCAGCTCCAGAGGCTGCTTGTCCTGAGGAAAACCTGTTGAAAATTGAGGCAAAGAAGGTGTTAAGTACCTCAGCCTTTCCCTCATCTTTGGTGACTATGTTTCCCCCCATGTCCAACAAAGAATGGAGGTTTTCCTTGCCCTTCCTTTTGCTACTGATGTATTTGTAGAAGAACTTCTTGTTATCCCTTACAGAAGTAACTAGATTGAGTTCAAATTGTGCCTTTGTCTCTCTAATTTTCTTTCTACATGACCTAACTATATTCCTAAATTTCTTCTTGAAGCATGTTCATCCCTCCTGGACCCCTTTGTTTTCAAGGGCTGTTTCCCAAGGTACCCTCTGTACCAGTCTTTTCAGTAGGCTGAAATCTTCCCTGTGGAAATCCAGGGTAGAAGTTTTATTAATGGCCCTCTTTGCATCTCTGAGTATTGAAAACTCTATTATTTCACAGTCACTGTGCCCCAAATGGCCTACAACCACCATATCAGTAAGTGGATCCAGGACTTCCCAATGGGTGGTGTGCTGAAACCTGAAGGCACAGAAAATGTGTTGTATGCTTTCTACTTTATATCCAGGCATTAGGGTTAAGGCAGCACTTGGATCTTTAAAGCTGACAGGGTGCTCATTTGGTGCTCTGAGTTTACAGTAGGAAAGGTACATGGATCTGCAACTCATGGCTCTCAAAGTCCCAGCAATGCCTGAAGATTTTGCAAAGTCTGAATTAATTTCAGCCCTGGATGTCTCAGTCCTCCACGTCAGAAATATGGTCTAATAAGGGGGGGAAAGAGGAATAGAATTAAAAACTCATTGGGTGAAACCTATGATCTGATAGAGAACTACCATTCCTCATTCTAGTAAAGGATATCTCCAGTAATTACAGGAAATGGAGTCTATCCAGGAGGCTTCATAGGAGACAAGGGGGAATAACAGCTTCTAGATCACAAGGCTCCTGAAGACATTGTTAGGGTTCATTATGTAGCAAAGAACAACTTTATTTTCACTATAAAGGGAATGGTCATGTTTCAGTGTTTTTCATTAAAAGAGAATATCAGAAAAAAGCCCATCAGCCAAAAGTTTATATCATAATAAAACTTTATAAGTCTCAAATATTTCCCATGTTCCACGGTAGCATCGAATCTTCTTGACTGATTAAAGAGGTTCATGGGTTAATGACCTTTAAGAAAGCTTGGTTTTTCATCACAATCCTGAAGTATTTTGTTTCTTTTATAGTCTTGATTTAGGCTTAGCTATGAGACTGAACAAAGAATCCAAAATGAAGAACATCCTCCTAAATGCAGACAACCACACACTGTAGACAAACTCAGAAACACAGGCTGAAAGTATGGACAGACCAGAACAGACGCAGCCGTGACAGCTGAGTCACACAGTTCAGTAAAGTGCAAACCTGAGATCTGGCTTGTACTAGTTATCCATAGGTTAAACCAGGATGAGTGAACTTCCTCAGGACAATGCAAAAAAGCTTTCAGGTACGATCAGTGACATATTGGAAGAGATGCATTAAACATGAACAGCAAATATCAAAGTTTCTTGCATTGCCAAGAGGAAAAAAAATTAAGGTGTATTTTCAATAGTTGGAACCATTGACTGGCAGGGACAGAAACACAGTGTTCTTCGAGGAGGTTATCCCACCTCTAAAAGTTCATTATAACTATAAAGAAAGGAGCTGATACAGGCTAAGGAAGTAAAACTAGAAACAGTTTCTTCTCTTAGAATTCATATGCAAGTTAAAGTACATTTTTGAAAAGAGATTTTTGTTTCCTTTGTTCTCTGCTGTTCTGCCATTGCCTAGTAACATTTTCAAATAAAGCAGGCTACCACTTGGAAGCAGAATTAGTAGGAGGATTGATTTTCTTCCCTTGAAGAAAGTATTGGCTTTTCAGTGAAAAACTGAATGCTGCAGGTGTGACCTTGACCTCATCAATTTTCAACCTCAAACTTTTATGTTTAAAACTGTGGGGTTTTTTTTTGTGGAATGCTACTCTTGTGCCTTGTGGGAACTGCAGCTCAGCTGCTCATATCTCATGGTTTTTTTCACAATTATCAGTGAAAATGCAACACCCCACGTGAAAAATTATTGCACATTAGTGTTTAGTAAAAAAAAATTTCTTCTGGCAACAAATCAATCAAGCACTGAAACTTTTCACATGGCATTGCATATTGTTGTTCAAGTCTGTGATGCACAAAAAACAGAGTGCCGCTGCCACCTGCAAAGCTGTGGTAAAAGATACTCAAAATAGACACTCAAAAAAGACACTCAAAACCCAGATAATTTTGATGTTATCTGTTTATATAAAATCACATATTAAAAAAAAAATCTATGCCAAAAATATAGTTTATAGTGAAAGATCAAACTGTAGAGAAGTTGGGGATCACCACAAACAATAGTTGCCCAAGACCTTAATTTAACTACCATGGGAATTAATTTTCTACATAAATGTTAGAGGCAAAAAAAAAGGGAAGAATAGGTTACGATTACGTAATTAAAAACTGTACTGAAATGCAGTTGTGCAAGGAACAAAGTAAAGGTCACTAGGAAATAATTTATCTGATATTTCCTAACTTCCAGTGTCAGACCTCAGTTCTTCAGCCTGCATTTCCCAGTGGATGATCACATACCAGCTGCAGTCTCATAGTTGTATGGCTGAAATAGTAAATGACAGCAAAAGAGCCTACATCTTAAGTAATATTATTTTCAAATATTAGTTTTGAAGTTAGTGCCTTATCTGTTTGTTTGAAAAGGTGACTGAAAGCTTTTGTTATGTAACAGCTTAGGAACCTCCATCATCAGATTTGACTCTGCATTTGTTTTTCACATCACTGATGTCAAAGCTTAATGTAGGTGACCTTTGGACAATAAGGGTCTGTTATTTTTTGTGGCAATATTAGTTCATGTGCTGGTGCTTAGATGCCCTTATGACGAAGAAAGGATAACTAACAGTGACTCCTCTATGGAATGAATTTGTGCTCTGTGTGGGGCTTCTTGGCTGAGGATGGATAGCTGCGGCCTCCTTTCAAAGCAGGGGTGAAGAGATCTTGTGCATTGTAGCATGTGGTTTTAATTTCAACTCCTCACCCAGAGCAAGGAGGTCCTCGAGCCCACTGTGTGGTTGTGCTAGGAAGTGCTGAAGGCAGGCTGTGCACTGGGTGAAGTTTGATCTGCTTCTTAATCTGCAGGCATGTAAAATGCCCAGGCCTGTAGGATATGGCTTAGCTTAGCTTAGCTTTCACCACAATTGAGTGGTGACGCCTCCATTAAAATATTTGAGTATTACTTATTTTAGTGTTGCCATATATCAAAGATTTATGGTGGAAAAATGGTGCCGTAAGAACTTCTAAGATGAGATGAAATGCTGTTTTATAAGAGTTGTGGAGTCATTACTGCAGCTGTATCTCATTGTTGAAACAATCATAGAGAGGTTACTGCAATAACTAAAAAAGTTCTAAGAAAAAGGACATCTTGGAAACTACAGTTATTTCTCCTAAACTCTTTTAAAGATGCTCTAGTGCAGTCGTGCAAATGACTCCTCGGCTCTCCATATGGACAGTGAGTCATTCTAATGTCAAATGCCCAAAGCCTGCAGGAAATTGCAGGTTTGTTGTTGCTGAATCATAGTGGCATGTACATCTTATTAGCCTGAGCTGGCATACAGGAGGAACTGATAATCATTTCTCACTCCTCAAATCTTTTCTTGTCTCTCAGGGCTTGGGAGGACTGTGTTCTGCTTTGGAGATGTCCTAGATGTCTAGAGAATAATGATAGGAATACCCTCAGATGATGTTTATTTCTTGGTTTCTTCTTGAGCTTCTAATTAAAATGGAATGATAGGTGAAGAATAAATAAACACTGTATAGAATGGGTCATTAATGACCTTTTAAACTCTTTTGGTATTTCTATTAAAAGATCGTTTTCCCTGCTGCAATAATGGAACGAGAAGTTGTAAGGTAAGAACTCTGTGTGTCTGTTAAATATGGTGCAAGCAGCACCATTTATTATGCACCACTGAAGACAGCAGGGAAAACAGCCTCCATTTCAATTATACAATGCCGATTTCAATTGTTTATACCTTTTTGAAGCACCAAGTTTAAGCCAAAATATTTCATATCTTTCCTGTGCCCCTGGCTGAATTCCATAATATTTCAGCCAAATAATTCAGCTCCTTCAGTAAATGAACCTAGGAACAAAGTACCACTTTGCTCATGTTAATACTTTGAGGTCTGTTCTGTAAAATTCCCCAGCACAACCCTGCAGGTGTTTTGAGTTTGGCAAAGGAGTAGCTCTCATGTATAAAATAAGGCTTCCTTCATGCCTGTAAAAGTCGTCCCAATTTTAATAATTATGCCAGTTGCAATTCATACAGGCTCAGGACAGTTGTGAGAAAGCTACGACTTTATACTTTTTAGATATCATCTACAGAAACTACAGATCATTGCAAACTTCACTGGTACTTTAAGCTCTTGCTTTACTCTTAGCTAGCCAGGTATATTATGTGTGCTTTTCTCACAGAGTAAAAATCCTTCTGCCACTGACTTTGGGGGAACTCAGAAAATTTTTCCAGGTTTCTGAAACACTTCTAACCCTATATTTGCTTTCTCTACCTAGAAGGGGAAACAACATAGAATAGTGCTTGGCTGACAAAAGAAAAAATTGCAGAGTGCTTCTTTTGTGCCGTTCGCCTTATAGTCTTTGCTGAAATGCAGGTCAGGTTCCTCTTTGCTCTTTTTGTAATGACTTTTGCCTCGGGCTCCTACCTCTAGAGTTCTTATGCTTGACTAGATCGATGTGCTATATCGATCACTGGGAAAAAACCTTGTCTTCTAAATTACACTAAATCAGGAGCAAAGTAGTGGCGATTTGGCACCTCTTCATCTAAGCAGATAGGGAGTCTTTCCTCATACCCTTTCTGGAATATATTTGCAAGGATGGTCAGGTACTTGTTGAAGATGTATCTAAAAAAAGTATTCATTCATCATTAAAGATAGCTACAGGGTAGAGAGAGTTATTTGTGAGTGCTAGTTTAAACCTCTGGACTGCATATGGGAAAGAAAAGCTTGCCTATAACACTATAACTAATTAGTTTGGAGAAGAAAGAAGCATGTTAGGTGTGAACTGGCGTTAGAAGACAGTGAGGAAGATCAGTAAGAAATTGAATCTACACAATGCCTTTATTTACCAATCTATGCCAATGTTGCTCAACTTATTAAAAAAAAGCTACAGGACTGAAAGTGTGCTAACTGATGACTTCTGAACTATGGCACAGAGCGGTGAGTCCCTCACTATTCTTATCAGAGTTGCAGAAAATGATGGAGCAACTAAATTCTTCCAAAAAGTCATGGTAAAGATCATAGGAGACACACATTTGACAGCTTCCTGTGTGCTATACCATCTCTACCTCTTTTTCCCACATTGGACTGTAAGACTAAATGTAAATCAGTACATAAATATGGTCAAGAACAGCTCTTGGATCTTGAGGCTGACTGGAACTGCTTGACTCATGCTTTTATGTCCAATAGTTTATGCCTTCCAAAACGGGTCTGGTATAATAAAACCATTTATTAGAAATGATTCTGGGCCTGTGCTAAGCCCTGTGCCCAGGCGTTGCCCAGTGGAATGACAGCTGGCATGTGAGCATGTACAAAGTGCAATCCACTATGGCTAAGGAAGGGATATGGGCCACAAGTGCACTATTAGAGAGACTCCCAGAACAGTTCTGTGATATGCCTTCAACCCACTGATCTGTTGTGCATATGGAAGTTTCCATACCATTGTCTGGGCATCTGTCATGGTTTAAATTATCCTCATGGATTAAAAGAGTAGTAATGGTAATATATAAATCTTTCTGTATGGCCTTGACCAGTGGTCTTCCAGTGGTTAGAGTAGAAACACTAATTATGCGTATTAGAAGGCATCAGAGGCAGCACATTTAGCTTCACTTTGTCCAGTTCCTTTCCTCCTATAGATAATGAGTATTTAATTCAGTGCCTCAACCTCAAGGACGTTTTCTTGAAGCACTGTGACAAATGATAAATGACATTTGTGAAATCCACTGTTATTAGCTGGCTCAAGCAAATGTGTGAAATTGCAGCAAGAAGAAACATTCACTATATTCTGTGCTGCAGTATGTGCTACTGTACATATTAACTACTTTAAACTGATACAGTTGTCTTTTTATAGCATATTTTTCACAGTTACAGATGCAGTCCCAGTAACATACACTACAGAATAAGCCTCTGATTCTTTCCTCTGCCTGCTAGGTATGGACAGTACTATTACCTCTGTAAGTGTTTAAGATATACACAGGTGTGTAGGAGTAAATCTGTT